GCAACTTGCGCTAACCAACTAGCCTTAATCAAAATTTCCCTCTCATGATTGGGATGAATAATTATGAGTGATATTATCATCAAAAAATTATCTTAATCGGGCACGAATCTCGAAGCAAGATCAAGTTGGAAATTTTCGAAATTAAATCTGGAACCATCTGAACTCCGATTTCAGCAAACTTATAGTCGAACTGAATGTCTCGAAAAGAATCTAACAACACCAAATTCGACTTAATCCGAGCCCAAATGGGTCCAAATCGAAGACTCAAAGCGTCATTGGAAGGTTCAAAAAATAAATTGGATTACCAAACGTGACATGCTTATAGTCAAATCGAGTTGCTCGACGAGACGAATCCAACGAGCCCTAAACGCCAAATTCTGATATCATTAAGACATTCAAATGCCAGTAAATTGGTTTTCCACGTAAAAAAATTCTGGTGTTTATTTTTTCAATGTTTGTGTGCTGGATATTCGTGCAACGCTAAGACATGAAGTTTTTCATACTTTAACGCCACGAACACTCTAGCCCGCAACAATGAGTAACATAAAACTTAATCATAAAATCCTTGCAAAATGAAGGCATAACCATTGAGCAATATCTTATCTACAATCCAATCTATCTTCTAGAAAAATACTCTCTTAAAAGAGCTCAACAGGAATTTTTGGAATCCACAACATTAAGAAATCAAGTAGATATAAAATATCTCCTAAACAAAAGGTTCGCAGTATGATTGGTAAAAAAAATTTAACAAATAGCTATCAAATATTGATCATAGAAGAAATAATAGAACTTGTTGCAACAACCCAAAGAGCCATGCTTCTAACATAGCAAACCCATCCACTACAAATACACATCTGACAACCTTATAGTTTCAAAGGCAGTAACACCTATCACATTGCACATTGTAAAGCACTCAAAACCCAAAAAGACATATTTCAAAAAGAAATAAGGTGATTAAAGAAAAAATAAGAGAAATAACAAGTAGCTCAATTGACAATGAGATCCACGAACAAAGAAAAGTATAGTGTTCTTGAGGTGATAGTACATGAATTCCAATAGATATCACAGTAGTGGTTCCTTGAAGTGTCAGAGCATTTGTAAATGCAGTGGCCTAGCAAGAAATTTTTTTCAACGGAGAACTAAATTTATTTTCACGAACTTTTCCTCATCTTTTTCATCCGGGCTTGGACCAGAATAGATAGTTTAAAAAAAAAAAAAAAGACAAAATTACAAATCATTTATAAATGAGATAAATACCAATTAGGTATATTAAAATTTAAAAAACAAAGCAATTATTCAGGTTGTTTTGAGATTCTGCATTTATTTTTAACTTCTATAACATTTATTTGTTTATAAAATGTATGATACTAATTACAGGACTGATTTGATTTTAAAATTAACATAGACAAGCTCACAGGTACCATCTACTAGGATTTGCTACAATTTTTTATATTTTTTTTATAGAGTGGTATGTGATGCCGTGGATATTGCTTGGTCAAGCTGTTGATTAGACTACTGGATCAATAGGTAGGCTTCAACATAGCGTGCTTTATTGACCGGTGGCCATAACGGTACAGTAGTTTTCATGCAAGTCATGAAGTCCCCTTGCCTACCCCATATGTCCAGACTTTTTTTTTTTCTTCATTTTAAATCCTCATTTAGACATTTTATTTTTTGAGGGCCCAATTTTTTTTTTTTGGGGCCCCCCCCCCCCCCCCCCCACCCCAATTTCTTTCTCAGGGACCCTAATTTTGCATTGAGAAATTCTCAAAGGAGTGTCTCAAGTGATCATCATCATCATCATTAGCATTTGGTTGTCAATGTCATGAGAAGGGTGCAAAATTAACCAGAAGAAAAAGTCAAGAAAAAAAACATTAGGGAAATTCTTATCTGAATGCAACTCTCAGTAATCCTGCTGTCAACCAGCACTTTAACTATTGAAACCCTATAGTTTCTGACATTTCCACGAGAGCTTCCCCTATCAACGTCCTCACACATCTTATACTATTCACCCACTTTTTTGAATGTTTGAAATTTACAATTCCTTCTCTTCCAAGTTTTACCAATATCAAATTTTTTAAGTTGAAATCCACTTCAAACCTCAATCATGTAAAAAAAGAAGTTGAAAGATACAATATATGGAAGAATAAGAACCCATGCCCTTTTAAAACAATGAGAATAAGAATGTTCACAATCAGTACCCAAACCTTCATCTTCTAAACAAACTAAGCACTCAGACATTAATGATTCATAATGGACACTGAATAACTCAAAGCCATGCTTGATTACACAACAATCCCTTCCGCTACAAATATACATATGCAGCTGCCTAATAAGGAATATTAATGGAAATTTAAAGAAAGTGAAGTGTATCGCATTGCACATTGTGCTGAAGGTAATGACAACGAAGTGGAAATTAAAATATTAACAGAACTAAAACGAAAATAGACTTGCCCATCTATTTGATTGAGAAATGCAATATCTTTAATTTTTTTGCTTGAAGGAATATCCAAAAAATTGAAGAATAAACCAAACTTAACATTGTACACACTTATATTTTAAGTAGAAAATAATAAAGAGAACTACGCACACATTTTAATTTACTTAGTCAAACCAATTCCTCATCAACACCATCGAAACCAAACAGTCGAGATGCAACAATTAGGTAAATAATATTTCTTTTCAGGTTAATTCCTCCAACCAAAACATAGCCAAAAGAGAGGCATTCCCAAAAAGAGAAGAGAACAGGAAGAACAAAAAAAGAATAAGGAGCATATGATTGTGGAATCCATGAAATAAGAAAAGCGGAGAAGCCTTGAATATTATATTGCACATTGTGTAGTAACCATATCCCAAAAAAGCTACATTTTAATGTAAAGAGGAAAGAAGAATTAGGGACCAAAACATGAATACCAAGAGGGCTGAGGTGATTGTGGAAGTCACAAAATAAGACAACTGCAGAAGCATTCTACTAATAGCTAGGCATGAATCCCCTTGGTAATTGCAGCTGTGCGGTTACCAGAGAAACTCCAGACCATCCAAACACACCACATCATTACCAAAGAAAATATAGAGATATTCGACAGAAGCCTTGTGCAATCTATAGCAAAATTCTACATCATCATCATCATCATTGCCCATCATCATTGCCCTCACAATTTCTTACAGAGAAGATACAATATCACACTATGTAATGTACTGAACGGCACAAATTTTGAAAAATGGGACCTCATAAGTCCTAACTCTACTGTAAGGTGTAGGGCTGCAAGCAAACCAAACGTTCGATGAGCTACTCATTGTTCGGTTTGATTAAAGCTCGTTTGTGATCGTTTAATTAACTAAACAAACAAACTTGAACAATATTTTAAATACTCGATTCTTAAATAAACAAACTTGAACACTAATGCGTTCGGCTCATTTATGTTCGCGAACAACATCATTTCAAGTTCGTGGACAAGCCCGACTTTAAGCTTGATAAGAAGCTCAATAAAAGCTCAATTCGTGTGATTGTTGCAGGTATCAAATATTACTTAACTTACTGTCTAAGTAATTGTAGCTTTATATGGCTATTTATTTATAAATCATTGCCTTTATTAATGTTGCTATAAAGAAAATTCTGTGAAGATGGGATTTACTTATAAATCATTGCCTTTGTTACATAGACAATTGCTTTTATTATAAATATGTTTGTTCATAGATATGCTCATGAACGTGTTTGTTTGATAGTTAAAAAAAATCGTTAAATATGTTCACGAACATGCTCGATGTAATCGTTTGTTAAGAAGATCGATAAAGCTCGTTTTTTAAGTTAATTTACATCTAAAAGTAGAGCTCGTTTATAGCTCATTCATGTTTGTTTGTTTAAAGCTCGATAAGCACTAAACGAACGAACATGAACCGAACATGAACACTCGTCAATTTAAATGAACCAAGCATGAACACAAATAATAAAGCTCGAACAAACATGAACCAAACTTGAACAACCTGATATTAAATGAACATAAACATGAACACTCACATACTCGGCTCGGCTCGGCTCGGTTCGTTTGCAGCCCTAGTAAGGTGGAGATGAGGCATAATTGCAATGCATTCAACAATATTTTATCATTCATCATCCTAACAAAATTTCCATGATTGAATGAATGCATTCGGAACTTGAAATGAAAGGCTTTCAGACACAGTAACACAATCCCATTTGAAATAATCTGTTGGCAGCTTGAATACTCAAAAATAACAAATAAACTTTGGTTCTACAGATTGTTATATTTAAATACTTAATTTAGAAGCAACACAGTTGTTTAGAAGTTCTAGGTCATCTCTAAGTTGTCATGCCATCCCCATAAAAAACAAAGTTCTATCAAGGAAGCCATGTATGGTGATGGTTAACATCCACCATCAACCCGGCTCTTCATGCTGTGAACAGCACTAATCTTAATATAAGCATACAATTAGGACCTAATTGATTTTGACTGTAAAGTTGAAGCAATCGATGGGATTTATATCTATAGCTCAGAAAAACTTTTGCCCCTTCAAGATAGAGATTTTAAATGTTCTTCTCAAAGCAAAATACAAACTGAAGAAAATGGGCCCTTGAATTCCACCACAATGCCTTACAATTCATATCTTGTTTCTCATTGTAACACCTAACCAACCTTCTTTTCACTAGCAAATTCGGTGAAGTAAATCCATATTTGTATAATCATGCTATATATATATATACTTATACTAGAGAGAGAGAGAGAGAGAGAGAGAGAGGATATCCAAAGAAAATTAGTCTCAAAACAGAAATAAGCAAAAAAATTCCATTTTTTTGCACGCTTGCAGCGATAGAGGACCAAGAAACTTGTGCAATTTATCATAGAGTAAGAAACAAGGCTTTCTCCCACCCTCTCAAGTCAAGACCTAAGTAAGAAAACAAGGTCGCACCAATTGGATGAGAAGATTTTCCAACCCTCCTTGATGCCTCATCAATGCCAGAGTTTCACGCCATGTAAAAAAAAAAAAAGAGCAATGATCATTCATATTTGATAATCTACAATATCAAAACTTTGTGCAACATCCCAGAAAGCTTGTTCCACAGCAACATTTGCACAAATATACATCTACAACAGCCTTAGTAAGGAATGTTTTTGGAACTTCAAAGAAAGTAATGTCTACCATATTGAACATTGTGTAGCACCCAAAAGCAGAAAGCATAATATTCGCAAAATGAATGAAGAAGGTTTCAACTGATTGCAATGCATTGAACCTCCTGGTGATAGCAATCCTGGAAAGCTCCGGCCCATTGTGAGATGACATGCCATTAGCATAAGAAACTCAGAGATGTCCCACAGCAGTCATATGCAGCCAATGGCTGAGTTTTTCATAATTTATCAAAAAATATATTAGCCTGAATTCAAAGTTTTAAAAATAATACTTTATTTAATTTTTCTAATTACTCCTTTGAAAAGAATATTAAAAAAATTATTACTAAAAATAATTAAAATATTTTCTAAAAATATTTATATTAAAATAAAAAAATAAATATAATAAAGCATTTCACTGCTTGGAGTAATGAAATGGTATGCCACCGAGACCCCTTGTGTGAGGGAGCCAACCACTGTGTCATACATTAAAACTATGAGAGAGAGTAATTGAGCACATAATACAACATGATTGATGATACTAATGTTTCTCAAAATCAATTTAAATTCATGCCACGTAGGTCTACTATGGAAGCTATCCATTTATTGAGGGTTTTCAAGGAGAAGTATAGAGAGAATAAGGAGGGCCTGCATTTGATATTTATTGATTAAGAAAAAGCATATGATAAAGCTCCAAAAGAAGTGCCCTCAGAGAGTTCTAGAAAAGAAAGTACTTAATAATGCTTATACTCGAGTCATTAACCATATGTATGCAGGAACTGTTACATGGTGTTCAAGCACAAGGAAGTTTGACCAAGTATTTTCCTATTTCAGTTGGATTACATCAATGATCAGTTTTAATCATAGTTGGCGGGCGACGGAGATCACAGGGACCATAGTCAACGAGCAACAGAAATTACATAGCAAAAGCGTACATGATGGCTACATTCCATGACATCATCAGCATTAGCCTCACAAATTCTTACACGTACAAGATACAATACCACATTACTGAATAGGGTGCATGGTAAAAATCTTGATAACTGGCATATGATCAGGCCATCACATGTCCTAACTCAATTTCATGAAAGATATCAACCTACTGATAGAACTTCCATCTGCAATCCCATAAACATTTTCACACAAATTCAATTTCCAAAATTCAAAGGTATAATGAACAGCTATATTACAGCTACTTCGGGTCACAGGAAAACTCTCAATAATTGCATTGGGTTATAATGAAGAATAAAATATTACAGACTGCTTACAAGCATGTCTTAGCAGAAATTATGTGATCATCAGCAGGAGTGTGAGACAAGTAAATGTTCATAAGTCTCCAAATCACAAAAAGACTAATACAAAAAGGAATGAAGATGATGATGAAGAAAAAGTCCAAGAGACCACGATTTAGTTGGCCCATATAACAAATGGGAATAATGAAATAAGAAAAGCAAAGAAGCATTTTCATATCATTATAATTGAATTCCCCCGGTGAAAAGGCAGAAATGGCTGCTAAAAAGTTCCAGGCCACCCTGAAAAGCCACATCACCATAAAAATTCTTGTCAATGGCTGGCCACTTGATTATCATCATCGCCAGCAAAGATTCTTTGTTCATAAACAAAGAAACAGCAACATGCTACTGCTTGTACTGTATATGGCACTAGTCTTGCTAATTGTCACATAATTAAGTCCTCCTAACTGCATTTCAAGGTGAAGATTTTCATATTTAGTTCACTCAAACAGAATTTGCCCCTTAACGTAAAATTTCACTTTACCCTTTTTCATAGAGAAAGATTGCAAGCTTCACCTTCAAGCATAAAAATTAGAATAAAATTGGAGACCCATGAACTCATAAAGTGATTGCAAACCATTATAAAAAATTAGACTATTATCATCAAACTCAAAAGAAAAAAAATGCAAGATTCACCCTGTATGCAAAATAAAATAAAATGAAAACAGGCCTCCTCTTGAACTGATAAATGCCTGTTATGTTGCAAGTGAGACATGTAATAACCTTTTATAGAAGAATGGTAGCTCTTATACTCACACAAGTTAAATCATTCACTCACTTTTTTGAATAATAAAGATTTAAAACATTTCATCATCCCTTGTATAATCCTAATACCAAATCTTATTTAGCTGAAATCCACTTTGAATCACACTCTTTTAAACAAGTGGATAAATCATGTAAGTAGGAATAAGTTCTCTTGTTCTTCCAAAACTAAGGAAATTCCATAAGATGGTGATGAGACCTACAATGCTTTATGGCACAAAATGTTAGGCATTAAAAGAGAACCATAAAACTAAGTGTTCCAGAGATGAGGATGCTCGGGAGGATGAGTGGCTTCGCTCTTAGAGACAGAATGTGAAATAAGCATAAATGTGAAAAATTTTGGGCAGCTGCAGTGGCAGACAAGATTAGCGTCACCTTAGATAGTTTGTTCGCATAAACTGTCAGCCTTCCGAGGACTCAATTAGGAGCATAGATGTATTAGATTTGGCCTATGTTAAGAAAGGTAAAGTTAGACCTAAAAAGGTTGGGTTATAAAATATTAGAAATGAACTTTTATTATCTGATTTAACATGACACAATGGAGATAAATGATTCATGAAGCCGGCCTCATATAGTGGGATGGATATAAACTCGATTTTGATGATGTTGATGCTCTTTGAAAACTACAATAAGTTTGTTGGAAACATAGTGAAATTCATGAAATCAGACAAGTGTAGCGCTTTCTAATAATGGTTGTACATGAATCCCCATGGTAATTATAGGTATTGTTGCATTAGAACCTCAGATCATCCAAAAATGCCACAACATTACCATAGAAACCATATGCAACCGATGGCCAAATTCCAAATCATCATCATCTTCACCATCACAAATACTTACCATCTATGCAGCATTAATCCTGATAACTGCCATTAGATGATACCCTCCTTACTATATTTCATGGTGGAAATAAAGCGAGTAAAAGTATTTCCATCTGTAAATAAAAAATATTTTTCCTTATAATGCAGTATCTTTTTTTCCCTTTTCATAATGATCTATTATAATATTGCACCTCTTCAAGCATCATCTCTACTCAAAGAGCAATAATACTTTCTCATATGAAAAAAAATCCTATAGAAAGTTCCATATAAGAGAGGTAGATGGATCAACTCATCATGTTCTTATAAACCCAAGTTTAGCTATTATGATAAAGAGAAATTATTTCCATACAGCACCATTATATTGTAAAGAAACACAATACAAATTTGCACAAATTTCTTTGAAATAACATTGTGCATTAATAGCCCTAAGAGCTGCTTTGAGAAATTCTATATAGAACACCACAAAAGATTCTTTTGAGTGATCACCATCATCATAATTAGCATTTATCCATTCTCACATTAAATCGAGGAGACGAGTGCAAAGAAAATTCTTAGAAATGCCCACAATAATTAGTTAAGACAATTGCATTGAGAAATTTTGTATATGCATGCAAACCATGGCCATATTTCTGTCAACAAGCACCTTAACAATTTGCAGCCCTTAAAGTTTCGGGCATTGTAAGAGACCTTCCCCTATCAATATCATCATCATCAAGCACAAACAAACCCTAAAAAAATAATTAAAAAAAAAAATCTTTGAAGTAGAGAATGATGGATCAACGTACGATGGGCTTTAACTCAATTTTAACCACTATAATCATGAGAAATGCTTACCACACCGTATCAAAGAAATCATGAAGAAGAAGATGATGATAAAAATGACTATATAATTTTCACTTATTTTATGCTTCAAATTAAAACAATTTCATCAGTATAACTTCGGCTGAAGCATATTTTCCAAATTCAAGAAACCAAATGATCCTCATAAGAATTATTTGTATGAATGCATAAATGCTACTTCACCAGACATGCAGATGCAAGAATATAAGAAACTATGCAGAATTGATACCATCCGGACGTAACTGCATCGTGTAAGTACCAAAATAATTTGAGGAGTTCAGAGTAGCAGAGAGAGAGAGAGAGAGAAGGCAAGGGAGAAAACCGACTTCATCGCCTCCAAGACTGATGAAGAGAATTTACTCATGCAAGCCGAAGAGGGGAATATAAATTAAGTTCATGTTGTCGGAGAAAATTCCTCACCGAAGAGAAGTTTAGTTGAAATACCTGAACAGTATTTAACATAAATTTTTCCGAAAGCAAAATTGCCAACCTGGAAACCCGTTTTACTCCCGTTTTGAATTGGACGGATTTTACTTAAATCCCCAAGACTCATCACGAGCTCCACTCGGTCTTCTCCAACAACCTTCCGTCGATTTCCTCTCTTCTTTGTCATAAACTAGGGTTTCGGACTGTAGGGGCTGTTTAAGATTCAAGCAGGATTTATCCTAAAATCGCTCTTCATGCCGTAAACCTCGGATTTACTAAATCTGGTGGAGTTCGGAGGATTTACGGATGTGGCCGGGGTAGAAAGATGGTTACTTCCGCAACGAGCGAGCTCTCGTCGTTCCAATCCAACAGCAAGAAATCGCTCGAACTGTCAAGACTCCCGCAATAACAAGATGGAACGCCATCAAAAGAGTATTAGCAACTGTTAAAAACCCTGCCTAGGACGAAGTAGCCGAACTGAACTGTAACTTGGTGAACAAATAGAGCCTACGAAAAGCAAAACACTTCCCAGGCCAAATATTACTAAAATTGTAAATAATTAATTAAATCATCAGAAGTGTAAAAATAATTAAATAATTAAATAATTAGGGAGTAAATAAATATTTAATAATTATTATTGAATAACTAGTATTCGTAAATAATTCATATTTTAATAAAATAATATTTAAATATTTAGTCACTATAGTGGATGATTCTGATAAAAAAGTTACTGATCAAGACAATTATGAAATCCTTTATTTAAAAAAGAAGCCAAATTGTTAAACATAGAGGCGCCTTTTGGCATAATAGTAATGAAATTTTGCAGTTAAGTATACTCATTCTAAAAAAATTCTGAGAAAAGTAACCTCCTGAGAAGTTACACCAATAAGATAAGACAGTGAAGCACTTAGGTCAAAGCAAGAATATGCTTCTAAATATGCAACAGAATGTTTGGTCAATTAATATTCTAAAGCTTCCAAATATTCTTCAAGCCCCTCGTTACCAAACTCAATTGGGTTCGAATTGGACCAATTTTGATGGCGTTGGATTCGTCTCATTGAGACGTTTAGTTCAACTATAAGTTTGATGAAATAGGAGCTCAGCAAATTTAATTTTGGAAATTTTTAATTCGAAAAATCTTCAAAATTTGTGCTTGCTCAAGACGATTTTTAGTGACGTATTGCATGTCAATCAAAATCATATCCTATACAAACTTAAAATTCCCAATATTGCCATGAAAGCCACCAACAGATTGGTTCTAGCTCGAGTTCAAGCTCGGTATCTGACAGTTGAGCTCGACTCGAAAAACCCCTGGCTCAAGCTCGACTCGACTCGTTTGCACACCTATTGTGTAGCAACCAAGGAAGAAAAGTCTTTGTTTGGTTTGAAGGAACTGAAAAAATAGGAAATGAAAATAAAATAAAAATTGAAATACTACAGCAACTGAATCCAAAAATAGTCATTTTTATCAACTGCAACTACACCAAACAACCGAGATGTAAATATTAGGTAACAATATTTTTTTTTCTAGAAAAAAAAAATAAAAAAAAGGCACGCATTTGCAAAAGGGAACAAGAATACGAAGGATCAAATGATAGACCATCAAATAAGACAAGCAGAAAATATTTGCCTACTACATTGCCCATTTTGTAGCACAAAGAACCCAAAAAATTACATTTCAAAAGGAGCAAAAGAATGAGGAACCAATAATAAGACCAAAGATAAGATGATATTGAGAGTCATAAAATAGGACAGTGTAGCAGCTTTCTACAAACAGCCATACATGAATCCTCTTGGTAATGGCTGTTGTAGTTGTCTGAGAAGTTTCAGACCATCCAAATATGTCACATCGTTACCATATAAAACGTATTGATATTCCATAGCAACCATATGCAATTGATGGCGAAATTCTGAATCATTATTATCTCCCTCCAAAATTCTTACTAAAAAGAGACATCAACAACACAACTGAATGTTAACTCATAAGATTTAGCCCTCCCAACTGTATTTCATGATAGAGAGATAAAACAAAGGATACGAATTCCTTTTAAAAATTATAAATATTTTTTAGTATCATGTAGTTTCATTGGTTTTTTTTTTTTTTTTTTCATAACAAATTATGATATTAGGCCTCTTCAAGATACATCTGTGAAACCCCTTAAGCAACAAAAAAAAAGGTAAACTCTTAAACATCGAGGTGTCTTTTGATGTAATGGTTGAAATTTTCGTAAGAAACTCCACTGTTAAGCATGCTCATTTCGAAGCAATTTTGGGATGGATGACCTATTGAGAAGTAACATCAACAGGATAAAATCATGAGACTCTTAGGCTAAAGCGGACAATATCTCGATAGTTAAGAATTTGGACTGTTATAACATCACTCAGAGTCAGAAAACTCCATCATATAGACATAAATTCTATAGAAAACTTCATAAAAGAGGGAATGATGGATGACCTTATCTTGTTCATACAAACCCAATTACAAATATTATGGTACAGAAAAATAATTTCAACACAGCGCCTTTATAAAGCGAGGCATGGCAACACAAAGCAGCACAAAATTTCTTTCCCAGGAACCCTAATTTTTCTTTGAGAAATTCTCAAAGGAGTGCCTCGAGTGATCATCATCATTATCATTAGAGTAATTATTAGCAATACCCACAATAAAAAGCCAGGAAAAAAAGCATTGGGAAAATTTTTCTCAGAATGCAACTCTCAGCCATCCTGCAGTCAACCAGCACATTAACAATTGAAACCCTACAGTTTCTGGCACTACCATGAGAGCTTCCCCTATATACGCCCTCCTCAAGCACCACCAAAACCAAAAATATTTATAAAAAATTACTTGAACAAGGAAAAGAATGATCACCGTACCACCAGTTTAAACCACATTGCAATCATTTTTATAAATCATGATAATGATCATCATAAAAATTATAATTTTCTTTTCTTTTCTCACGCCACAACATCATAGAAATCATGATAATGAACATAATAAAAATGATAAGTTCATTTTAACTTATTTAATGCATCAAAATTTAACCATTTCATTAGTGTAACTTCAGAGAAAGCATATATTCTAACTTCAAGCAGCCGATTGAGCCGTACATAGTATTCTTTATACTAGAAAACTGTTTTAGAAAGTAATAAGAAAGCCATCACAAACGAAGCATTAGCCTCATATTGCAAATTCCTTTTTTCCCTTCTCATCAAGAAACATTTCAATATTTCACCTACATAAATAAAAATTATAAATGAAGAGAAAGACCCTCAAACTTACATAAGTGATAGATTATTACCTATTTTACAACAATAGCAGCTCTTATAAAGAGAGATAAGTGGACTATTATCCATTTTACAAAAATAATAGCACTCATCCTCACACATTTTATACTATTCACACACTTTTTTTAATGTTTGAGATTTACAATTCATTGTCCCTTCCAAGTTACAAATATCATTTTTTTTAACAATGAGAATAAGAATGTTCGCCATCAGTACCCACAACTTCATCTACAAAACAAACTAAGTACTTGACATTAATGATTCGACATGAACAACAACAACAACAATAACAAGCATTTATCCCACTGTGGGGTCGGCTACATGAATTATTTTTCTCCATTGTGTCCTATCAAGGGTCAAATTCTCATCTAAATCTAATAAAAAAAGTCATTTCTAATATTTTTTAACCAAGTCTTTTTAGGTCTACCTCTACATTTCTTAATATAAGTCAAATCTAACACATCTACTTTTCTAACCAGGTCAACGGAAGGCTGCCATTTTATATGACCAAACCATCTAAGATGAGACTCTCTAATATTATCTTCCATTGGAGCTACTTCAACCTTTTCACGTATATGCTCATTTCATATCCTATCTTTAAGAGTAAAGCCACTCATCCACCTGAGCAACCTCATCTCTACAAAACTTTGCTTAATATTTTGCTTCTCTTTTAATGACCAACATTTTGCACCATAAAGCATTGCAGGTCTCACTAACATTTTATAGAATTTTCCCTTAAGTTTGAGAGGGATTTTTCCATCACATAACAAGCCCGATGCATTCCTCCACTTCAACCATCCAACTTGAATTCTACTAATAATATCCCCATCTATTTCATCATCACTCTGAACAATGGACCCAAGATATCTATAACGTGTGCTATTAATAATGACTTGATCGTCCAAAGTCACAATCCCCCCACTAGATCTATCATTACTAAAATTACACTCCGTGTATTCAATTTTAGATCTACTTAAATGAAAGGTTTTAAACTATAAGGCTAACCTCCATAATTCAAGTTTACCTTCAACTCCCTCTCTAGTTTTATCAACAAGAAGAACATCATCGGCAAAAATCATACACCGGAGTACAACCTCTTGCAAATGTCTAGTGAGAACATCCATGACTAAAGCAAAAAAGATATGTTCTTAAGGCTAATCCTTGATGTAATCTGACTGAAATAGGAAAATACTTAGTCAGACCACCCTGTGTTTGAACACAAGTAAGAGCTCCTACATACATATCCTTAAAGACTTGAATATAAGCATTATTAACCTCTTTCTTATGTAGAACTCTCCATAGCACTTCTCTAACTCAAAAAGCAATGAAGTGCAAATTCAAATATTAATAGAACTAAAACGAAAATAGAAATGCCCATTTATTTGAATGAGGAGAAATTGAGTAGAAATGCGATATCTTTTATTTTTTTGCTTAAAGAATATCCCAAAAAAATTTGAAGAATAAACCAAATTTAACATTCTACACACTTAAATTTTAAGTAGAAAATCACAAAGAGAAATTCACATGTTATAATTTACTTGGTCAAACCAATTCCTTATCAACACCACCTAAACCAAAGAGTCAAGATGCAACTATTAGGTAAATAATATATCTTTTCGGTTTAATTCCTCCACAACCAAAACATAGCCAAAAGAGAGGCATTCCCAAGATGATAACGGGAAAAACAAAACAAGAATAAGAAGGAACATATGGTTGTGGAATCCATGAAATAAGAAAAGCGGAGAAGCCTTGAATATTATATATTGCACATTATGTAGTAAACATAAACCAACAGAACTACATTTCAAAGAGGAAAGAAGAATTAGGGACCAATACACGAATACCAAGAGGGCTCAGGTGATTGTGGAAGTTACATAGTAAGACGAGCAGAAGCATTCTACTAATATCTAAGCATGAATCCCCTTGGTAATTGCATTTGTGCGGTTGCCAGAAAAGCATCAGACCATCCAAACACACCACATCATTACCATAGAAAATATAGAGATATCTGATAGCAGCCTTGTGAAATCGATAGCAAAATTCTAAATCATCATCATCATTTTCCTCACAAATTCTTACTCATAAGATACAATACCACACTATGGAATGTTTTGAACGGGCACAAATTTTGAAAAATAGGACCTCCTGAGTCCTAACTCCACAGTAAGGCGGAGATGAGGCATGATTGCAATGCATTCAACGATATTTTATCATTCATCATATCCAAACAAAAATTCCATGATTGAATGTATGCAGTCAGAACTAGAGATGAAAGGCATTCATGTACAGTAACACAAACCCAATTGAAAAAACCTGTTGGTAGCTTGAAGGATCAGAGTAACATATAAACTTTGATTTTACAGATTATTATGCTTAAATACTTAAATTAAAAGCAACTGCAATTGTAGAAGCTCTAGGTCATCTCTAAGTTGTCATGTCATCCCCATAAGAAACAAAGTTTTATCAAGGCACTCATGTATGGTGATGGTTAACATCCACCATCTACCCGGCTCTTCAT